GCGAGTTTAAGGGTGCGTAGATTCCGCTTTACAGATAGCAAGAGACCGATCTGGTTAAAATGCGTTGATTGCACTCTAGCATGCATTGATTCGAGTTGTGTGCGAGTCTAATCAAACGTATCTATTATTGTATGAGTGATCTAACAGTGTTCTTATTTGATCTTTGCTTTAGTGAAAGTGTGGGAGGATTATTAAAGGAACCATTAGAAATAATGAAGTAAGTTGAGTCTTATCATTGTATAGGTTTTAATTCCACTGACCTACCGCGTCTATGATTTGTCTGCTTTATCAGATATAAAACATTTCTAATTCTCCTTTCCGTTCAGACCTGGCTTTGCTCGAGTCGGTCTTCCTTACTTCATGAACGACAAACCAGTGGATTTTGTACTAAATGCTGTCAACATGGTAGCTACGCATGGATGGAAACTGTTACCGCAGGTCAGTCAGACCTTTACTGCAAAGACAATGCTGGGCTTGCTTGAGCGATGAAAAGATCGTCAGTCATCACAAATTGGTTTATTTTAGGCAAAGGGTGTTTGAATGATCAAGTCGAAAAAGGATATCATTGAAAAGTTGAGCCCAAGGAAACCATAAATCAAGCACAAGATTTGCAAGGACTATTACTGTTTGATGAAACAGTGACATCATCTTGCTATTATTCAGTGCACATTTATGATATATTTTTTTTCTTCATCGGTTTCAGTTTAATTTGTATCGTGTTTAAAAACTAAAATTGTAACATCTGGCTCTTTGCGCTTTATGAAAAACAACAACAACAAAACCTGAAACACTTGTGCTTGCCTGGACTCATTCGTTCGTTCTTGTAAACTTTCGTTCATACCGCTTTTGCCCGTTTGACTTACTCCTGACACGGCTGTCTCCCCCCCTGGGTCTCCGAGGTGGCTGTCATAGTGCGCCACATTTTGATTTAGTATAACTACGTCTTTTGTCTGGGTGTCAAGGCTGTCTAACAAATGATTTATTTCGTTGTTTTATTACAATACCACTTTGATCCACACACGGGTGTTTGGGAACATAAACAGTTTAAAAAGGACCGTGGAGAAACCTTGTTTAGCTTACATGACCTAAGCTATGATGAGACTGGAATGACCGTTAACACGAAAGAAGTATGCAAGGATTACGAAGGGACGCTTGATGTAAGCAATAGTTAAAGTTCCAATTACAAGAGCAAGCTACTTACCAGAACAAATCAAACTTCCCATACCATTAGCTGTTGTTCATTTAAAATGTACCATTTTCAAGCTGGAGCTTTTTCTTGCCATTTTAGGATATTGCTGAGGCAGCCAAGCGAGTTTTCAACGAGGCAGTTGATGTAAACAAGGTAGGTAATTATAAGAATAAAACTATTAAATAAATCATGGGTGGAGTATTTTCCAGTTATGATAGGGACGGCAAACGTTAAGTCGAAAGTCTTCATTTGAGGAGAATAAGTAAACACAATCTACCAATAGGTCCATATTTGACCTTATTTTTTGGATTGATTGAACGTACTGAGACGAAATATTTCATGTCTCCACAGGAAATATCCACTATAGAAGAAGAAGTAATCGAGTTTACGGACGACAGAAACCAGTTAGTCTGGTTTCTGCAGCCAAATGAAGCGCAGTTTTACTTAGCGGCAGAGACATTGAAATATAAGCCTAAACCATTTGGAAGGAACAAGTCTCCGTTTACACCAAAGCATGGCCATTCACCTCGGGTATCACCGCAAATATCTCCAGCTGGATCAGATCCAGATTTACACATGAATGGTCACGTGGATGGTCACGTGGAAAGTCCGTCTGATGATTCTGAAGACGTTACACAGAAGCACACGTTACTCCAAGCTCGTGAGGACTGGGATCCTAAGGATTCTCATAAAAAGGTCGCTGGTGGAAAAAAGAAAAGGGACGTCATTGAAAAAATCAAACGTGCTTTATGTCATGTACCTCGACACTAAACTTTTAAAGAAATCTTCAGCGAAGGATTAAGTTTTTAATAGTATCCGAAGTGTAGGAATTGCTTCTTGTTATTTAGAATTTCCTCTGGATTGGTAATGTTCGTCATGAGGGTCATAATCAGTGGAAATAATGAATAATGACAGATTCAGTCCGACTGAAAGTTTCTTTGACAAAATTTTAATATTTAAATAAATTTATATTTATATATTTATTTCTCAACCGCGTTATAATAAATGGACGTTCATAAGAACGTTTTTTACTTAGAGTGTGAGCAAGAAATAGTGGTGTGCAAAATAAGTTTCACCTGTCGATGTGTGTAGAGTTTTATTCCTATTTTTCAGTGTGTACTTCAAGTTTGTAAGGTTATCTAAGGTGGCATTCGAATACTGATTCAAAAATGTTTTCTCCTTCTTCCAAACTGTGTGGTCTTTTGTTATGTAGTTTTTTGAACCAACAGAAACAGATTATTTCACGGTGGTGAGCTCACTATGACGGACTCACCAATGAACTTTTTACATTTGTTTGTATTATAGTTCGTCTTTAAATAAGATACTTGAAAGGCAACATACTGAGCTTATTGTCGCCGTATTACGTTGTAATACTTGACGGTTTCTGAACGCAGCTCAAAGTATAGGCGTTTATTCATTCGCGGAATAAGCAGAAAAGCACTCCGCCCTTCACCTCACTTCACTCGCCCCAGTTCTTCTTGTTATTATGCAACTGATAGAAATATATGGAACGAATTTACCACAGGTTATTGCGCAGATTTCGCGCCTCGTCCCCAGCCGGAGCTCCCGCGTTTTCCTTCAGCGGTGAACGAATGCCCAACGCTCTGGGCGAAAGCATACAATCCTAGTTCCGGTTCGTTTGTACCCTTGAATTCCAGGTGCGCCTAAGTTCGACAATGGCTTCTCCTCACATGCGTAGAAGGGGAGTGAACGCTGTGATAGATGCTGGCTCGCCTTCCAAACGATTTTGACCTCGTATTCTTTAGTCTTAAATAGGGTAGGGGTTTTGGGAAGCGGGCCGCACACCCCCACCCGACTGTTCTGGGAGTACCCCTCCCCGGGCCAGATATAAACGTACTACCATGCGGAAGAGTAGCCCAGGGTTTTTACGTCAGGCTTTGGCATGTCGTTTCGGTCACACTCGCTTCTTTCTAAAGAGAGGGGGAAACTATTTAGCTGTCATTTATCTACCGTGTAAGAAATATTTGCACAAATCTTATTTGAACGCCAATTAAAACAGTTGTGGAATCTCTTTGTTAGTGTACTAGTTCCACTCAAAAATACGCGTGAGCCCAAATGCCAGAAAGTTGTTCATCCAGTGGGGCACAAAATGGATACAGGCTTTTGAAGCACAAGTAAAAATAAATATTTCTTTAATCGTCAACGTTTCAAAATGCAGTTAGTGTAGAAGGTTCAGGTACTGTTGGCAGCCGGTCTTGCTTTTCTTCTCCTGAGGGCCCCACCCATGTCTTGTCCCAATCCCTTTTCGTCCAAAGGGTCTCGCCTCATTCTCCCAGGCTGATTGCGAGAAAAAAAGAGCGCCAGCGACCTACTTAAGTTCAAAGATATCAATAAAATGACCATGAGTTCAGCCATATGAATATCTGAATAATTCTCCTACTGTAATTATGGATATAAGAGCAGCTAAGAGCTGTGTAATTTTGATGTCTGCCTTGTCTACCCACAGACTCTCTGTTTTGTCTTGAGTTCATTGACATAAAAAATAACTTGCACGAAAAAAGTCTGTTGAGACTAATGCCCACCTTGCATTGGGGCATACAATAAATTATTACAAATTTGTTATACATAAATGAGTGATATTCATTGGAGGCAGCCNCCCAAATGCCAGAAAGTTGTTCATCCAGTGGGGCACAAAATGGATACAGGCTTTTGAAGCACAAGTAAAAATAAATATTTCTTTAATCGTCAACGTTTCAAAATGCAGTTAGTGTAGAAGATTCAGGTACTGCTGGCAGCCGGTCTTGCTTTTCTTCCCCTGAGGGCCGCGCCCATGTCTTGTCCCAATCCCTTTTCGTCTAAAGGGTCTCGCCTCATTCTCCCAGGCTGATTGCGAGAAAAAAAGAGCGCCAGCGGCCTACTTAAGTTCAAAGATGCCAATAAAATAAGCATGAGTTCAGCCATATGAATATCTGAATAATTCTCCTAATGTAATTATGGATATAAGAGCAGCTAAGAGCTGTGTAATTTTGATGTCTGCCTTGTCCACCCGCAGACTCCCTGTTTTGTCTTGAGTTCATTGAGATAAAAAATAACTTGCACGAAAAAAGTCTGTTGACAGACTTATGTCCACCATACATTGGAACATACAATAAATTATTACAAATTTGTTATACAAAAATGAGTGATATTCATTGGAGGCAGCCGATCAAATTACGCTTATTACATTGGGTACCAAAGATACTTATCATGCAATTTCATGGAAACTGCCAGTTCTTTCATCTCATCTCATCTTATTCTTTCATAATGCATCTTGTTGTAAGTTATGAAAATTTCTCAAGTGTCCCTGACCACAAAATTGCTATGTATTGTCCCCTTTTATACTTAAATCAAAAGTTTACATCACCTCCATGATAGATCTTCTTACACTGTAGTTCATTACTAATGTTTGGTGTTTTTTCTACCTTAGAAAACTGATAATTTGAGGTTTCTTTCAATTTGAAATTTATTTGTTTATGTAATTTCAAAGCAATTTTGTACTTGAGAAAAAAAAGTTAAATATTATGATAAGCTCCCTTAAGAGCGAAAACTGCCCATAACCTGTCACTGCATTCCCATTTGTCCCCAGACATTAAACTTTAGAAGGCAACAAACAATTATAACTTAACAGTGCTTTTACGCAGGGTCAACCTTTGACGTGAGTACACCACAAGATGAACATGACCAAGTTTGTTCACTTTAACTTGAAGTTGATTGGACAGCAGTTTCTTGGATTGCATTATGTACATACATTTATATGCACTAATTTGAAGACAGTTCATGATTTGGAAAGTCAAAATTATGTGAGACAGCATACAGTGAACACCGTTTTTCAGATGAAGTGTGACCATCTTGCATCGTAAACAAATAATTTATTCTTTAGGAGTTGATGTACATGTACTGTCAGGTTCGTTCTTAGGTGAAGCCTCCTCTTCACTAGTTGCTGTTGCAGGGAATGGTATTCCACTTATCTTTAACAGTTCTCTAAGGCCTTTGTTTTCTGACTCAATGGAAGCCATTTTCTCTTGCTCCTGTTGAATGGCTTCATCATCTATGTAGATTGCTTGTGCCATAACAGCTGCCATTTCACAGATTTGCTCAGTTTTAGCTTGTAATTCCTAAATGAATGGACAGAAATAAGAGCTTAAATTAGACAAATGAAATGTTCAAAGTCTGGTGGAAGATGACCGACTTCAAGCTATAAACTGTACAGAATAGACATGTGAGTATCTCAGTTAGTCATGCTTTCTGTTTCCGTCTTTTGCAATCATGTACCCTACAACCTCTCTGTGTGGGACCCATGCTGTCCTCTGTGTATTTTTAAAGATCTAAACTACTGTACATAAAAAAATCAAGAAAAAAATTACCAGTAATACACTGTAAACTGCTAAAAATCAAATGATAAACTAACTTAATCAAAATAAGCTCTAGTACCAGCAGCTAAACATACACATCGTGGAAAGACTACATGTACTATTAGTACATGCACCACAAATATTTTTTACAATAAACAGAATTTACAGTATGCAAAAACAAATACATTAGTATTTTGTATAATGCTACATGCATGTAAGTGAAAGTAGAATACCTTGTAATTATTTAACTTCATGCAACTTGCATCGAGTCTATTTGCTTTGATCAGTCCAAAAACCTACAAATAAAAATTAATGAACATAATTCCAACAAAGAGTACATTGTAATGTCTTCAGACAATATAATCATTTTACTACATGCACTTCAAGTAAAAATCATATGAAGGTACACGTATAAGGTACCTTTATTACACATAATCTTAGTATTTTATCATTGCTATTATTTTAGTATTCCACATCTGATGCAAACTACAAATCTAACCCAGTCCAAATTTGACACAATGCTTTACATTCTATGGCATTGGAAGATAGTGCAGACAATAGTCACAATGCATTCCATTTTACAAAATGTCTGCAAAATAAGACTTGTTTGTATCTTTTTTTCAGCAAAGCCACAATTGGAACTCATCAATTCATGCTAGATCCATTTTAATTTGCAGTCTGGTTATGTTTCTCCCCATAAGACAAAGAGTACAAGTACATAAATAATGACACTGAGTGTAAAACTGGCACACACTATCCACTATGCCCTGCAGAGTGCAAGCATAATTATTATCATTTTGTGCCTCTGGTTGAGTCTCATTTCAGGATTATAAAATGCTCTGACCTGTTCTCTATATTTGGCCATGATGAGTTCCAGAGCAGATTGATATTCAGCCACTGAAGTCTGAAGTTCAATGTTTTCCTGTTGTAATTCCCGTATACGAGCATTCTCTTCCTGGCTTCCTAAGATAAGTGTGCTGCGAGGCCTACGATTTGCCACCTCATTAAGGTCTCTCACAACATCATGATACTGTCAGGCAGAAAGGAAATGTAATCATCTTATAACTTATTCACTAAACAGTAGGACCAAAATTTTTCTGGTGTACAAATTTCAAACATCAATAAAATTTAACTACTCAATTGACTGAGAACAGAACTTTATGCATGGGTATTTGTTCATGTTTGCTCTTGGAAATCTGTAGGTTTTGAGGATCAGTCAGTGTCTACGGGTAAGTACTTGACAGTGGACATTTTTGAAGCCAGATAGAGGAGATTGAATTTACTGTGCATCATAAATTTGAACATATGGTTGGCCTTTTTAGTTCCGGCATAGTCAATCGAAAAAAACCGAAGGTATAATGAATCTAACTCAATCGCCTCCAGTTGTTTGATTGATTGCTGATTAGTTCGATAACTGAACGTAATTGAACTGGACAGTTCTGGGTGAGTATGATTTCCAAACTCAGGAGTTTGATTATTGAACCACCTGGAAAAATCAGATCAATTGAACAAAACTGGTAATAAAAATATCAGTAGACACTGCGGTCTTACTAGAATGGAGTTCTCTACTATAACTATGTGATCCAAGTGTGAAGAATATATTAATTAATTAATTAATTTATTTATTTATTAATTAATTTATTTATTTACCATGTAAATCCAAATTCAATTCTGAAAATAGCTAGTAAATTGATAGATCTAATAAATTGCAAACATGTAACTAACAAATTGTAAAAATAGCTTCTTTGATTGACTCAAGCGATTCTGCCAATGCTTCATGACTGGGCAATCTGTTCTACTCCTATAGAGTTCTTGGCAAGAGCTTACAAAAATCACTCTTAACAATGGGTTCTCTAAAAGCATGTCCAGATGAGGATATAAATACCGTATTTTACCGTGTATAAGTCGACCTTTCAAGACCTAAAAATCAGTCCGAAAATTCGCCCTCAACTTATACATGGGTAAAAGACTTGATATCCAAGCACAAGTTAACTAATTAGCATAATAATTGTCTTTCTATTTTAACAAACAGCATAAACGGCAGCACAGCTTACAACATACATTCGCTTAGCGATCTGTTTCTCTGTATCAGAGCTTCAAGTTTAAATTCATCAATATTTATCTGCCAAATGTTAACCTGAATGTTGTAGATACTCACTGGCTCAATTTTGTCATAAAGAACCGATATTCTTGCTGTAAGTAAAGCTGTAAAGCCGCTCGGAGAAAACATCTTTCGCGTTTCGAACTTCTCTGCTTAGTAACCTGGCAGGATACAGTCTCGACCGATTTCAAGGCTTGGCTATCAAGTACCATAATGCACGCTTTGCACTTTGTTTATCGAGTCATTTTGAAAGAGTCCTGGGGTGGGTTGTTCAAAGCCTGATTAAGCTAACCCAGGATTAGCGAGAATTTTGACTTAGTTTTTGTAACTCTTCGGTGAGGTTTTCTGTTTATATTATTTGTCCATTAGTGTTGAATTTGAATAATCTCAAACTATAGAAAACATTCATAGTGTAAAACATTTATATCCAAGGAAAATTTATCCTTCGGTTAACTTTTAATCCTAGGTTAGCATTAACCGGCTATCAAACAACCCGGTCCTGAGCTTCTTTGGTGTTTTCCCTGTCTTCTAAAGCCACTTTGTATCTCTACACACTTAAAAAGGTTCGTTTGAAATCATCATGTTTGATTTTGTGAGCATTTTACAAAAATTATCGTCAAAAAGCCTACATACACATGTGTTGCTAAACTGGGTAAAATGCTCTTGTACATGCCATAATAAGCTTGGCAAAACTTCATGTTGAAACTTGCTGTGATTTGTTCACATATCCGCAGTAGCTGAAAGAAAATTCTAAGAAATACAAGAAGAGCTTTCCAAGAAATTCTTACCTGGAAATTAAGAAAATCTTGTTTTTGGCCTCAAAAATTGGGGGTCGACTTATACATGGGATTGACTATTACATGGGTAAATACAGGTAGATTTCAATGTAGTCAACAGTCTATTGTTACAATGTGCGGGATAATATTGATCAGGGATATTCTCTTATTAGTAAAACTGAGGCCCATTAACACAGGCGATCTTTGATGCGACTTGAAGCTCACACAAACTTATTTGACAGTAATGCCCTGTTCGAAAGTGAAGGAAGGATCGATCAATCTAGAGTTTGATTATGTTAGACTGCCAAAGCCAATCCAAATCAATCCAATGATTGGAGTTTGATTTAGTGCGATTGAACAATTGTTCAATGTGTGGTTCCAGAAAATATCTATACCCCCCATGGCAGGTCACAGAAATTCTGAGGGGTAGGGGGGACTGAAAGAGATAGATTTCCGAAGGGGAAGGGGCTACTCAAAGAGTTTTCTTTCCAGTGGGTGTGAAACACGATTGAATGAACACTACCATACGTTCCCAATTGATTCAGGCAACCAAGCCAACAGAAATGTTCATCCGTTGAAATAAATGTTAGATTCTTTGTCACACATGTATATTTTCCATTTTTCTTCCGATNAGTTTGATTATGTTAGACTGCCAAAGCCAATCCAAATCAATCCAATGATTGGAGTTTGATTTAGTGCGATTGAACAATTGTTCAATGTGTGGTTCCAGAAAATATCTATACCCCCCATGGAGGGTCACAGAAATTCTGAGGGGTAGGGGGGACTGAAAGAGGTAGATTTCCGAAGGGGAGGGGGCTACTCAAAGAGTTTTCTTTCCAGTGGGTGTGAAACACGATTGAATGAACACTACCGTACGTTCCCAATTGATTCAGGCAACCAAGCCAACAGAAATGTTCCATCCGTTGAAATAAATGTTAGATTCTTTGTCACACATGTATATTTTCCATTTTTCTTCTGATGTCGTACGACAGATGGCAATCCTGAGTATCGTGTTTGTTGGACATCAAGTTGAACAAAATGCTGGCCGACGAAGAGGTGCAACAATACATGAACAATGAAGTTGATGATATTTTATACTTTGAAGATTGTGCTGTATTTAGCTTGAATGCAGCTCAGATGCTCTTTCCAGCATTAATCATGCTGTCAATTAGATGAGATTCGTACTTTGTTTATTTCGTTTGATACTCATACAAAATTAATTCCTGTTTCGGAATTGCCGTAACTAGGTTGTCACATATTTTCATCATTATCTGTGTAGCTAACAGTTTGCTTTAATTAAGCAAAGTTGATTCAAAGCCATTTGTCTTGAACTAAATGTAAACGTGGACAGCGAGGAGCGTTGTAATTGGAACAGTAGACGAGATTTCAGTCGGTCATTTATAGACCGACTGAACAATGCGTGTTTCACGTATGAAATGTATGACAATTCAAAACACTAAGGCACACAATGAATTTACTATCATTTACAAACTAAAGAGACAAAGCATATGACTTAATTGATGTATTCCTTTGGTGAAAGAAAAAATAAAGTGACATTTGGGAAACAGCTGTTTTGAAAAAAAGTTGCGTGACGACTTTACTACGTGTGTAAAGTAATTCAATATGTTGTTTTGATCATGCATAAATTTAAACTTCAACTCGGTTATTTGAAAGAGCTCTATGTACATTTCGAGATTCTTGTATGAAAACTTCCTTTAATGAAGAAAAAGTCAGCTGCTATGCCAGTTGGGAGTGAAGTGCTTCTAACTCAGTTGTTTATTAGTTTAAACACTGGTTCAAACATTTTAACATGACATGAAGGAACGGGCTGTGTCTGCAGTCTACTGTGAAAAAGTACGTCTTTGTCTACAATGTAACTATAAACAGCTGTGGCTAAATTTTATTACAATCCATGAATAAAGTCTTGCTTTTTATGGATACGGAATTTCCGAGGGGTAGGGGGCTCCAAGTAGAAAAAACATGGAAATTCCAGTGGGTGGGGGGAGTACTGTAAAGCCCCCTGAACGGAAAATCCTGGAGGGTGGGGCGTCAAACTGGATAAAACCCTCTGTGGGGGATATGGATATTTTCTGGAACCACACAATTTTTGATTGTACGATTGTATTCAGTTGGCAAAAAGTTTGGGTGAGTTCAATTATGTTCGATTGCCAAACCTAATAACTGAAATCAATCAAACAATTGGAGTTCGACTGAGTTCGATTACCGAATGTTCGATTGACTTAGCCAGGTTTAGTAGACCTCTTTTCCATTCTGTTACAAATCAAAGTCATAGTGATGACATTAAGAAATATAGTTAGTCTGTTCAAAATATTCAGTGCTACTCAAGTCAACCTTTTATCCTGGAAAAACACTGAACATTAATAAATGAGCTTGTTTTAGCAAAACCGTAACAAAACATGTTTCCTGCACGTGGCAGTGCTCATGTGCAGCTTACAATAATTGCAAGCTGTCGAGTTCTGTTTCTTGTCAATCACAGTGTAAAGCAATATAATTCTGACATACATGTAAAACCAAAGCTTAATATTTACAAAACTGTAAAAAAGATAATTCTAGTCCAAATTTTGACATCGTTACCTGCTTCATAGCATCCACTTTAAAGTGTAAATTGTTTGCTTGGCCAATGAGTGCATCTGACGAGGCATTATGCTCACGAAGACGAGATGCCAGGCGTTTAGCGTCTAATAACAACTGGTCCATTTCATTAACGTCGGATGTTTCAGTATCTAATCCGCCATTTTAAACTGTGGCACGAGTGCATGGGTAAAAATCAACAAACCGCTGACCCGGAATAAACAAAGCCTCTTAGGTAAACTTTAGATACTAAAAGAAATTCGTGACGTGATATGTGGTCAGGATGGCCGAGCGGTCTAAGGCGCTGCGTTCAGGTCGCAGTCTACTCTTGTAGGCGTGGGTTCGAATCCCACTTCTGACACATTATTTTTTTTTTTCCCTTTTTTTGTTGGGATTCCTTTACTTGCTCTTTCTTTGGTCATTTGAGTGGATTATAAATCAGT